GGATCCTAAGCCCGAAATCACACAACCACCAGGCTCCGGTAACGCAGTCACAGACACACCCACATGTGATCATCCTCAGCCCGACATCACACCACCACCACGCACAGGCGCCACAGGCACAGACACACCCCCACGTGACACCGTCAAGCACACCACCACATGTGAGGATCCTAAGCCCGCAATCACAGACATACCCACATGTAAAGCAGTCACAGACACACCAATACGTGACACAGTCACGGACATACCCACATGTTACACAGTCACGCACATACCCACATGTGATCATCCTCAGCCCGACATCACAGGCATAACCACATCCCACACTACCACGTGGCTGCGTTGGATTGACCGCAACAAACATATGCTGCGGCCGTGCACGACGCAGCCGTGGTTTCTGCAATTAAAAGCGGATTGGAAACAATACCTGCGTGAGAACATTGCGGCACACGGAGCATCCGGTGAGCACAAGACAGCCGCAACCATGCAACGGCAGAAATTGGATCTGTGGAAACAATGGGTTGCAAAACAACATGCGCTTATGAATATATATGGTGAGGAGGCGTGGTTTCAACATTTGTTGAATAATGTGCAGGAGGCGACCGTACCGCAAACACGCGAAATACCTCGAGTAGCAAAACACTTAGAACTGGAAAAAGCAATGGCCGCAGAACATGTTCTAAGAGTGAGAAATGTACCGCGGAAGCAACTGCATCATCCACCGCATATGAAAAAACCGTTAACCACTAAAATATGGATACTGATCCTGGCATTAGTCATAGAACACTGCGAGCTCGAAAGCCGTTTGCAGGACAAGGAGTATTATGTGGATGACCTATTGCAAACGTGTTAAAATTAGGATGACGGGGCATATGCATGCGACATAATGCATGCTGACCGTAGACCACTTTTATTTCATTATGTGATATACATAATATATTTCTGTTTTGCACTATTCCATACCTTCTTTTTTTTTTTTTCTGCTTCTTTCTGCTTACTTCTGTTTCTTTGTGCTTACTTTTGCCTTGTTTTGTTCTTTTTCTGTGTAGTCCACTTCTTTTAATATAACTATGAGCACTGGGTTGTAGAGGTCACATGCATATAAAATGTGCATTTAAATGAATAATATGAACGGGGTAGTATTCTCCTTTATGTGAAGTTAATTATTAAAAGATGCGCACGTGCATTCTAATGGTATAGTGCAGAACTAATATAGAATGCGCATACGCATTCGAGTATAAGGACAGCTTGTCTCTCCGCGCAAACGCGGCCGCGTAAACCGCATTGTAGCCGAGTGTGAGAAGGACGAGATCTTGTCTCTCCGAGCAAACGCGTCGAGCAACGCGGCCGCGTGCACGACGGCGGACCATTGTCTCCGAGCAAACGCGGAAGGGTACCCACAATTCGACGACGTAGCCGAGTGTAAGAAGGTACACATTGTCTCTCCGAGCAAACGCGTCGACCAACGCGGCCGGGTAAACGGGATTGTCGTCGAGGTAGCCGAGTGTAACAGCGATTCGACGAAGTAGCCGAGTGTAAGAAAAAGGAGATTGTCTCTCCGAGCAAACGTGGCCAAGTGTACGAAAGCACGAGATTGTCTCTCCGAGCAAACGCGCTTCGACGACGTAGCCGGGTGTAACAAGGATTCGACGAAATAGCCGAGTGTAAGCAAGGAGGGAGAGATTGTCTCTCCGAGCACGCGCGTCGAGCAAACGCGTCGACCAAAGCGGCCGGGTAAAGCACATTGTCCGAGGAAATAGCCGAGCGCAAGAAGGAGGGAGATTGTCTCTCCGAGCAAGCGCGTCGACTAACGCGGTCGGATAAAGGCGATTGTCCGAGTGTAAGAAGGACGAGAGATTGTCTCTCCGAGCAAACGCGCTCGGGTACACGGATCGGTCCGCGTGCACCACGCAGGACCATTGTCTGTCCGGGCAAACGTGGCCGGGTAAGCAGGAATAGACCACGTGGCCGCGTGTAAGAAGGTACACATTGTCTCTCCGAGCAAACGCGTCGACCAAAGCGGCCGCGTACACGCGATTGTCCGAGGACGCAGCCGCGTGACAGAGAAGCGTTGACGGGGCCGGGGTGACGGAGACGGGGTGACTCGGAGAGGCGTTCACGGAGAAGCGTTGACGGAGACAGCGTGACGGGAGAGGCGTTGACGGAGACAGCGTTGATGGAGAGGCGTTGACGCGAGCGGCGTTGACGAACGAGGCGCTGACGGAGAACACGTTGACGGTGACGGGGTGACGGAGGAAGAGTTAACGCAGAAACGTTGACGGAGAAGGCGTTGACGGAGACGGGGTGACGGAGAAAGGGGTGACGAAGACGGGGTGTGACGACGAGGCGTAGACGGAGACGGGGTGACGGAGAGGGGTGGACGGAG